TAGAATAGAATAGAATAGAATAGAATAGAATAGAATAGAATAGAATAGAATAGAATAGAATAGAATAGAATTAATGGCATGGCATGGCATGGCATAGCATAGCATAGCATAGCATAGCATAGGATAGAATAGAAATAATGGAATGGAATGGAATGGAATGGAATGGAATGGAATGGAATGGAATAGAATAGAATAGAATGGAATGGAATGGAATGGAATGGAATTGGAATTGGAATTGGAATTGGAATTGGAATTGGAATTGGAATTGGAATAGAATAGAATAGAATAGAATAGAAGAATAGAATAGAATAGAATAGAATAGAATATTGTCACTTTGAAGGTACACTAATCAGCATACATTATAATCAGTGGTGGGATTCAAATTTTTTTTACTCCTGGTTTTGTGGGTGTGGCTTGGTGGGCGTGATTATGTGGGAATAGGCATGTGACTGGGTGGGCGTGGCTTTTTTTGCATCCACCCCCACTCATTTTTTGGGCCTTCTAGGCCTCAGAGGAGCCTCTAGGGGGCGCATTTTTGCTCCCAGAAGGCTCCTCTGGGGGCTCAGGAAGGCAAAAAATGGAGGGGAGGCTGGGCTGCCTCCATTTTTTGCCTTTCTGGGCCTCAGCCAGGGGAATCCCGGCACGGCTGATCGTATGAACAGCTGATTGTCGGGAGGGGAAGGCAGGGCAAGTGAGCCAGTGGCAACTGGGCAACCAGGGCAATTTACTACCGGTTCGGCAACCCACGCCAAATCCTTGCTACCGGCTCGCCCGATCCAGTGCAAACCGGCTGAATACCCCCACTGATTACCATGAGATTTCATTGCATACATCTCTGAAACAGTCATCAACTCAGGACTAGAGTGATAGATACGGGCTAGATCGCTACCTCCAAATATACAGGTAGTCCTCGTCTTACAACAATTCGTTTAGTGACCATTCAAAGTTACAACAGCACTGTAAAAAATGACTTATGACCATTTTTCACACTTATGACCGTTGCAGCCTCCTCACGGTTACTTGATTTATATTTGGATGCTTGGCAACTGACTCAGATTTATGACGGCTGCAGTGCCCCGGGGTCACGTGATTCCCCCCCCCCCTTTTTGCGACCTTCTGACCAGGAGAAAAAGCCAGATTCACTTAACAAGCGGGTTACTAACTGACCAATGGGAGTGCTTCACTTAACAACCCTGGCCAGAAAGGTCGTAAAATGGGGGCAAAGCTCCCTTAAAAACCCATGTCTCCCTTAACAGCAGAAAATTTGGGAATTGATTGCGGTCACGAGTCAAGGACCACCGGTTTAAGTTCATGCTTCTCATCAGGGAACAAGATGAATTTGTTGAAGATACTAACTAGAAGTTTCCCATGAAGTCAGCAAAAGTTGAACTGAATTTGCAAGGCGATTCTAGTAATTGTTGCAAAGCTTTGGGATTTCTTAAGAGAGGCAGCAAAAATCACTGTGTCTCAGAGGTTAACTTCCTCACTCAAGGAAACTATGAATCACTCTAAATCCATGCAGGCTGTTTCCTTCAGCAGGAGCCTTTAGACATGCTGAGAGCAGATGGGGCCATCTAAACGTCATCCAAACCGTCTGGGTGGAATCACTTTCAGTTTTCAAAACACAGCCATATTACTCTGTAAGCTTCGTCGGAGAGCCCCTTTCCCAATTCTGCCAGTAGGTGACATGAGATCCAGAGTGTGAGTCAGAGAGAGCACGGACAGGACATCATATTTTAGGATGTCGTCAGTTCATCGTTTATTTTTTAAAGGAGAACATTTGTAGCTCAGGGTTGAAATGAAGGAACCCTTGGTGCTCTTGGAGCTTGGTTGTTTTCTTGCAGACGTTTTGTTGCCAAGCTAGGTAACATTATCAGTGCTAGAAGGCAGCATGGTTGGAGGAGGAGGAGGACTGTAGGGTCCTTGGTGCTCTCTGAGCCTGTTTGTTTGTTTTTGCAGATGTTTTGTTACCCAAACTAGGTAACATCAGTGCTAGAAGGGAGTGGGGGTTATGGAGTAATAGAGGAGGAGGAGGAGGAGGAGGAAGAGGAGGAGGAGGAGGAGGAGGAGGAGGAGGAGGAGAGGAAGAGGAGGGGGGAAAAGTGGCGGCTCTGGGGTCCTTGGTACTCCCTGAACTTGCTTCTTTCCTTGTAGATGTTTCATTACCCTAACTAGCTAACCTCTCAGTTTGAGAGGAGGGGGAGGAAGATTCCTTACCCTAACTAAGTAATATCATAAGTTCTAGCAAGGAGTGAGGTTTGCCATCCGTTTATATTCCGGTGTCTTGCTTCCCCCACCCATCTAGACAGACAAGTCACCGGAATATAAACGGACAGCAAACCACACTCCTTGCTAGAACTGATGATGTTACTTAGTTAGGGTAATAAAACGTCTACAAGAAAACAAGCAAGCTCAGAGAGCACCAAGGAGCCCACCGTTCTCCTCCTCCAGGTTTGGGTGGACCCGTAGCTCAATTTTATGGCCAGTTCAGCGAACCGCCAAATCCCACCCCTGGCTGGCCCCTCCCCTCCCAGGAGTCCCCACGTGGCCCATTTTGGATGCAGGAAAGTGCAGGATCCATGTGGAGGCTTGGGGAGGGGGAAAAACGGGCCTCCCGGAAGTCCGGAAATGAGCCCGTTTCCGGCCTCCAGAGCCCGGGAGAGGCCGATTTCACCCTCCCTGAGGCTCAAGGAAAGCCTCCAGAATCTGGGGAGAGCGAAAACACCCCCCCCACACACACACCATGGTGCAGGAGGCCAACTAGGCCACGCCCACGATGGCCATGCCCACCCAGCAAACGGGCAGAGAACCCATTGCTGAAATTTTTGAGGCCCACCCCTGCATTTGAGTTTGACCGTGTAAGCAGATAGAACGAGTAGATCTTATACATACATAAAGGTAAAGGTTATACAGTACACACCCATTAAAGCAAGGTAGGTGAGTTTGGGCCCTTTGCTTAACGATGTTTGCTAATGGTGGAGAAGTTCTAAGACCTGGAAACGACTGTAGGAACGTAGAATATAGAATCATAGAGTTGGAAGGGACCTCAGAGGTCTTTCAGTCGTACCCTCTGCTGGAGCAGGAGACCCTATACAATTTCAGACAAGGGATTGTCCAGTTTCTTCTTCAAAAACCTCCAGTGATGGAGCACCCACTTCTTCAAAACCTCCAGTGAAGGCAAGTCCTTCCGCTGGTTCATTGCTCTCCGTGTTCGGAAGTTTTTCCAGGTTGCTTCTCTCCTTGGTTAGCTTCCATCCATTGTCCCTAGGAAGGGGATATACAGCTCAGGGCCTTTTGAAAAGATCCCCTAATTTTGTTATGTGGCGACGAGGCTGGGGAGGTCAGGTCCGAAGTTCAGAGTTAGTCAGAATTCAGTGGAAGTGAGCGTGCCGTAAAACCAGAAGAGGTAAAACTCCAGAACAAAGGGAGGCTGAGTCAGTGCGGACTGAATATAAAAACATAGAGATGACTTGGTGATAAGAAAAACAAATTGAGGTGGAAAGGAAGATTGAGAAAGCTTTGGTTGGATGGCTTTTTGTGGAGATCCTGGAAAGGGGAGAGGGGAGATCAGAGGGGTGGATGCAAAAACAGGAAGGTTTCAAAACGTATTGCCACTGTTCATGGAATAAACTAGATTTGGCTAGATGTCTCAATCAATGGACCAGAAGCGAAACGTTTTCAAGAAAAAAAAAACAACAAGAAAGTCCAGTTGTCTTTTTCAAAAGAATTTACACCTTTGGTGTAAATTTGGGCAATTCCCAATTAAGTTCTGCTGCTTTTAATCTCACGCCTCATTTCTTTCTCATGTTTTATGCAATAACTAGCGGGATACCCGTGCTTCACTACGAAGCTATATAGTCGGGCTTAGTTTATGGGGAGGAAAATAAGGGGGGGAAATTCTGCCTTTGCCTACCAGCATCCATTGGTATTCATCTGGCTAATGTCCTGTGAGTGTGTGAGAGAGTTAAGGGCTGTTTGGAAACTGAAACAGTCTTTGCTGTATGGGCAAGGAGGAGACAGCAAGGAGCCTGGATGTGGCTTAGCTGAACTGTTCTGTACTAAAGCTGCTTGGAGCTCTCAAAGTGAAACTGAAACTCCTCTCCTCTGCTTGTGTTTTGCATTTGGAAGAGATTTCTTTTCAGGTGGGGAAGGGGAGTAGAACTCCTTAGCATCAGAGTGTGTTAATAATAATATAGGAAATACTAATGCTCTGATGGTCATTTTGAAAAATCCTTTCTTAGTAAGCACCTCAAAACCAAGAGGAACATACGTGCCAAATTTCAAATTTGTAGGCTTTACAGTTCTGGAGATTTTGTGATGATGTGTGAGTGATATTTCGCTTATATACATATATATATAGATATAGAAAGAAGACAGGGTGAGCGCCCAGGGCTGTAATCTCCAACAGGAGAACAACAGCAATACTGTAGCTGGGATGCTTCTGGTCTGTGTTTAATACTGAATATTTGTGCGACATATTGGCTTGAAAGAATTTGCACCAGTGAGCATTTGTAAGGGTGTGTGTGTGTCTCTTGCAAGCATGCTGCTTTATCTGAGTGACTGGCCCAAAGTCACCCAATCAGCTTTCATGGCTAAGGTAGGACTTGAACTTACAACCTCCTGCTTCATAGCTTGGGGCCTTAGCCACTAGGCCATATTGGCTCTTAGATGTACTTATGGATAATATGCATACAGTATAACACTGGACAATGAATGCCCTGCTATTTGTTGGAGGAGAAGCCTAGCTGGGAATTATTATGAGGCAATGATTTAAGTGTGACTGAAAAGGGACAGAGAAGAAACAGTGGTAAACTTTCTATGGGGTTGAATATAATAATAGTTTGTTAACAGATGGTTTGAAATTTTAATCTTTTTTTTTCATTCTGCTTGCTAACTATTTTGTCATAAATATAATCGATAGATGACAGGTTCATAATTTGGAGAAAGAATTAGAAGTTTTTTTAAAAAAATGGGCCTGTTTTTCATGGGGTGGGAAACTAATATTGTTGCAATGTACTTATCAGTATTCAACTGGAGGCATAATATGTGTATATATGTTTGTGTCCCCTTTTTAACTCACCTTTTGAATGTCTTGTTTGTTTTTTGTGGTTGATGGTTTTTGTAAAAAACCCTTTTTTGGCGTGGGAGGGAAATTTTGCATTTTAACTTTTTTTTAAAAAAAGAAAATCAAAATTACTACAGGTAGTCCTCAACTTACACCTTAACAACAGTTCGTTGATTCATCGTTCAGTGTTAGGATGGCACTGAAGACAGTGGCTTAGCACCATTTTTCAAACTTTTGACCATTGCAGCATCCCCCAAGGTCACGTGATTTACAATCGGAGGCTTGACCACTGACATCCATTTACGGTGGTTGCAGTGTCCTGAGGGTCACGTGATCACTTTTTGTGACTTTCTGACCAGCCAAGTCAAATGGGGAAGTCAGATTCACTTAACAACCGTGTTAACTAACTTAACAACTGCAGTGATTCACTTAACAAGGAAGTTTGTAAAATGGGGCAAAACTCACTTAACAAATGTCTCATTTAGCAACCAAACATCCACCTGTCTGTCTGTCTGTCTGTCTATCTATCTGTCTATCCATCTATCATCTATCTATCATCTATATCTATCATCTATCTCTCATCTGTCTATCATCTATATCTATCATCTATCTATGATCTGTCTATCATCTATATCTATCATCTATATCTCATCTATCTCTCATCTCTCATCTATCTATTATCTATCTATCTCTCATCTATCTCTCATCTCTCATCTGTATCTATCTACTAGCTATCTATCATCTATCATCTATATCTATCCATATATATTTATCTATCTATCTATCTATCTATCTATCTATCTATCTATCTATCTAT